ACAGACAGACAGACACAGAGAGAGAGACAGACAGACAGAGACAGACAGACAGACAGACAGAGAGAGAAAGAGAGAGGTCTCCAAGTATCACTGTCTCCACAGAGAGAGGGGGGGTCTCCCAGTATCACTGTCTCCACTGAATGAGAGAGAGAGAGAGAGAGAGAGAGAGAGAGAGAGAGGGTGTCTCCCACTATCTGTGTCTCCACTGAGAGAGAGAGAGAGAGAGAGAGAGAGAGAGAGAGAGAGAGAGAGAGAGAGAGAGAGAGAGAGAGAGAGAGAGAGAGAGAGAGAGAGAGAGAGAGAGGGTGTCTCCCAGTATCACTGTCTCCACTGAGTGAGAGAGAGAGAGAGAGAGAGAGAGAGAGAGAGGGTGTCTCCCAGTATCACTGTCTCCACTCTACAGAAGTAAAGGATGTAGTGCAGTCTCAGCACCTGAATCCCTCAATCAGAGTCACAGTAGACCGTAGACCCTGAACTCCACCTGGTCACCATGAAACCGACTTCAACCACACTCAAACATCACCCACAGTCCAATCATTATTCATTTGTAAACACCTGTTTTAATTTTGCATTTCAGTGTTTTAAGAGGATCAAAAAATTTTGTCAGGATGACTTAAAACGTTCAGCTAAAAAATGGCTGGGGGTGGGGCAGCAAGATGACTGAGTGGGTGAAGTCTGTTTCTGTAGAGCTTGATGACTTGAGTTCAATCATGGAATCCTCATGGTAAGAAAAAACCAACTCCAGCAAGTTGTCCCCTGAGCTTCAAACTTCAACATGAAGTGATGTATGTGTGCCCCCAACACACACACACACACACACACACACACACACACCACACACAAACGCACATATGCACACAATTATTTGAATTGACAGCCAGAAAATGGGGCCTGATTAGAGAAAGTGGGTCACTGACATTTGGGACTTCCCTAGCCCCTTCCTGTTCCTGCTCCTCTCTGCTTCCAGTCTAATGCTCCGCATGACTTCCCCACCCACAGTGGACTGCAGGTTTTGAAATTGTCACCAAATAAGTAGATCGTCTCTGTAAACTGTCTTCTCAGGAATTTTGGTCACAGTCGTACATGACCATCTCTTTCACAGAGGAAGAAACTGAGTCAAGTTACTTGTCCCAGTTCATACACTGGTTCTACAGAGTTCTTTTTTGTTTTGTTTTGTTTGAGGCAAGGTCTCACTATGTAGCTCTGGCTGTCCTGGAACTCACTCTGCAGATCAGGTTGGTCTCAAACTTGTAGAGATCTGCCTGCCTCTGCCTCCTGAGTGCTGGGGTTAAAGGTGTGCACCACCAGGCCCAGTGCAGAGTTCATTTTTATATTTTGCAGAGCATTAAGTTACAGGGGACTTAGCACAAATTAAAACAAGTAGCATTCTTTTTGCCTCTGAAAATTTTCTCTTATGTACCCCATACCTAACTCAGTGTACCCTAACCTTTGTTGTGGTTTGAGGGTGGAATGTCCACCATAAACTACAGAGAACAAGCACTTCTTCCTGAAGTTGCTTCTTATCAAGGACTTGGGAATGAAGAAGGGAACTAGTACACTTTGAAAATACATCAAAACCAAGTTTTACACCAGTAAAGCTTCATTTTTACAAATCATAAAAGTAACTGGGTTTTGCTGTATACGGTAATAGTCTTATTGAAAGAATAAAAGATAAAAATTAGATGACCTGGGCTAGGGATAATCCAGCTCAGAGGTAGCTTGCCTGGCATGTTCAAGGCCCTAGGTTCATCACCAGTACTACAATAAACAAACAAACCTAGTAACACACATTGAAAGAAAGCTAGGATAGCTGTACATTTCCCAGGAAGAAGAAGGATCAGAGAGAAAGATTTTTTTGAATGATAGAAGAACTAATTTATTGGGCCAGGGTAATAGCTCAGTGGTGGAATGAGCACACATGAGTACCTGAGTTTGATCTCTGGGGTGAGGGGTGGGGTCAGTTTATCAAGATGATAAAAGTCATAAATGTTTATTTTCAAATAAAAAGGTTCAAAGTGCATGAGGCAAACGATATACTCTCTGTCTCCCACTTATGGTTTGAGATGTGAGGTCTCAGTTGTTTCTGCCACCATACCTTGGCTCTGCCATCATGGACTCTAACCCTCTGGAGCTAGAAACCCAATTAAATGTTTTCTTTTATAATTCACCTAGGTCACGGTATAACATCACAGCAACAGAAAAGTAACTAATGCAGATGCTGATCCTGAGAGGAACTTGTTTGGGGTTGGGGAATGATTGGAGACTGTTACACACAAACCTAAACCCATGTAAAGATCCTAAGATGGCCGGGGGTTGGGGAATATCAGACACCTTCCTTCTTCCCAATGTCACCCATTGACTCAGTCTCCTTTTTCTGTGTTGTTTTGTTTTGTTACTCCAATTTGTGTGTGGTAGACTATCTTCCTGTTTCCCCTGCAGGAGTGTCCTTCTGTCAGCCTTGCTTTCCTACATGTAGCCTGACAAAGGACGGTGGAGCAGCCAACACTCAAGGCTAAGTTTGTGCAGGCTGAGAGCATGCTGCTTGTGTAGCATCCTAGGCATTTCACACTCATGGAGTAGGGATCATGCTCCTCACCAGGTATTGTGTGTGTTTCCTTCTGGGAACACACACAATACCTGTAGGGAGGTCACTGCTGGGAAGGCCCAATGCTGTAGGGAGGTCACAATGCTGTAGGGAGGTCACAATGCTGTAGGGAGGTCACTGCTGGGAAGGCCCCTTGTCTGCTTTATGCAAGGAACAGGTAGAGGAGGGGGAGCAGAAAGAGTAAAAGAGAAAGGACCTGGAGCAGTGGATAATCCTATGTCAAATAGATAAAGAACGACAACAAAGAAACAGAGAGAGAACCACAGGGCTGGCTCCACACATTCTGTCATAATCAAAAGGGAAGGCAAAGCTTTAGGTAATAGCCAGAACTGACAAGCCTCAGGAAAAAAAAATCTCATGTTTGCTTTGGGACAATGGGGGCAAACCCAGGGCTTCCTTATGCTAAGTATACTCTATCAGCTACACCCCAGGCCAGGAGTTCTCAAATGAGACAAGCCCAACAAAAATTGATGAATTGACAGGAGTCAGGAGAATAAGGAGGTTCAAGGCCATCCTCAGCTATGTGGCTAGCTTGAGGCCAGCCTGGCCTAGGTGACAAAATATAAATTGGGTTAATCTCTCTGGCTTGTCACTGTCCTCTGCCCAGGCAGTCCCTGCCTCTCCAGCCACCCAGTTGTCCTTAGTAGGTATCAGCTTTGATGATGCCTACATCTGTTTGGCACACTGCTGGCATGCTGCTGGCAAATCCAGTTTACAGAGCCCAGAACACACCAACCATAGACTCTACAGATGCCACAGAGGTGGGAATTTAGCCTTGCCAGATCTCTGGCCCTCTCCTGAGCTCACCTCTGAACCAGGTGGATGAGAGACTGATGACCCGTGACAGTTGTCATCACCATGCAGCGGATGACTCCTCTGTGTTCAGCTGTTTCCTCATGGCCTTGCACTTCTGGTTCCTCTGGAATAGCTTTCTAGAGATCCTCTGTGTGATAGGGATCCCTCCTGGGTTCATTTGATTATTTCAATGGGAATTTGTCAGCAAAATAGAGCAGAAAATGGAACCGGGGAAGTCGAAATCCCTACACAGCACTAAAAGTTCCTTTCGGTCAGATGGACAGCGGAATCCACCCCGCCCACGTTTGGAAGGAGACAGTAAGTAGCTCTGATGGACATGGGGTAGGGGTGGGGGTAGTGTGTAGCTCTGGGCTGACCTACTGGGTACATCTAAACTCAATACTACGGATTCTGGCCACATGTTGTGGCACTGACCCGACCTGAGATAGAGCACCTCAGTGAGTCTGGTGACATGAGGCCAGTTTGGGCTGTACACTGAGACTGTTGAACACACAGTAACCCAAAACAGTACATTTTAATTCAAAGAGTATGCACTACTGGGGATGTAGCCTGTAGTCTCGGCTTCAGGAGGCGGAAGCAGGAAGATCAGAACTTCAAAGTTATTCTCAGCTACACAGGGAACTCCAGACCAGCCAAGGCCACAGGAGGGCCTGCCTCAAAAAAATTAAATAAAATAAAAAAGAGAAGAGAAGATAGCTGGTGAGATGGCTTGTCAGGTAAAAGCGCTGGCTGCCAAGCCTGATCCCCAGGACTCAGGCGGTGGAAGGAAAGAACAGGTTCTTACCAGCTGTTCTCTGACTTGCACACCACCGCACTCAAACACCCAACACACATATGCCCCACCCTCCTGAAAATACACAAAATAAGCAATAAAATCTAAAGACATTGCCTCTCTGTGTACACTGGGCTGGTCTCAAACACACAAAGCTCTACATGCTCTGTCTCCCAAGTGCTGAGAATAAAGGCGTGTGCTGCCATGCCTGGCCCAAATAAATGTATTTTAAAAAATATGTACACACACACACACACACACACACACACACACACCCACAGAGAGAGAGAGAGAGAGAGAGAGAGAGAGAGAGAGAGAGACTCTGTCCTTGTAATCTGTGAATCAGTTTAATTCAGTCCTCATTTATTAAAAGTCTTTAATTTTTTATGGTGAGAAAAAGGTATGTTTTGAATTAACCAACTCAGTTTAGACAATGCTGGGGGGCGGCGGCGCTCACCACCATCCCTGTAGAAGATCTCTTTCAAGAGTCAGTCCTCCCTTTCCACTGTGTTCTTCCAGGAATCCAACTCAGAACTCA